GTTTTTTGACAGATTTTGGGCTTGGAGGGCCAGATAGCATGGAAAGGTGGGGTAAAGATCTTTGAAATAAGAATACTGAATGTGCTTGCTGAGCATATAACCTCTTTGGAGGGGAAAAAAGAGGGACAGAAGATGGTTCAAGCTGTGTTTGTAACATTGCCTATAGTTATTATGAGTTATGAAAAAGGAAACCACAGGCAAGGCTCCTGAGAGACAGTGGATTGTTGAAACGGAATGTTGAATATATAGACTTAAAAGCGCAAACTTGTGCCATTTACTGAGAATCCTGCCCTCCCCCTGTCTGCCCCCCCCCCCAAATCTGAAATGTTCTGCCTCCGAAATCAGCAAAGCTAGGGGTGACTGCAAAGATGCAATTGGAAATCCAGGTTCGAATCCCCAGTCTGCCACGGAAGCTCACTGGGTGATCTTGTGCTGGTCACATACTCTCTATCTCACCTACCTCAGAGGAGAATGATGATGCTTTGGGTCCCCATTGGGGAGAAAAGTGGGGGATACATGGATTCATTACATAAATAAAATGAATAAAATTATGGACCTAGCTACGTATTACTGAGTGGCATCACTACTGCATCGTGGGCTCATGATCTACCCCCTAGTAAGTTCAGCTTTGCTGCTGTTCTGGTCGGTTTCCTGTCACCTGCTATGAAGAATTTCCTTCCAGGGGCAGGCGGTTTCCAAACAACTTATTTTGGTGTCTGGAGAAACCAAGTGAGCTTTGCAAGATCTGAGATGCCTGACCAAGCAGAGTTTCTTACCAGGTCTCAGTTTTACAAGTTCATTCAGGTGGAGATCAGATAGGTTTGCTAGAACACACAAGAAAGAAGACCTTTAGCATCCATTCAACTGTAAGCTGTAAGCTATATATGTTCTTGAATAGTGTCAGCCGTCTACTTTGCATGCTGGGAAAGTTAAAGATGCCGCAAAAGTGGTGTGCTCGCAGATCTTAAAACCATGTTCCAGGACCCTCCCCTGTCTCTGGTCTTGGTCTCCTGTTCCCTCTGCAGTGCCTAAAATAGACTGGTCCATGTGATGGGGGAAAGTCCATGCACAGAAGTTCAGACTTCTTCTCGCTCACGTGTTCCAGTCTGGCTGCTCGTACACGCAAATGCAAAACACACATTCTCTCCACACCCCATGGAGGAAATGGTATGAAACTGGCATGTAGAACCACAATCCCTCTGCAGTATCGTGGAGCTGTTATCCAGAAAGGTTGAGATCAGAGGAAAGCAATCTTTTTTGGCTCATATCCTGGGGGGAAATGCAATATCAAGCTGTGAAGTTGTTTGTGTATTGTCGAACAGAGGCAGGGAGGAAGGGAGACAAGGATTCTCCTTGGCCAGACGGATTGGGAGCAAGCTGAGCCCTAGCAGAACAGCCAGTGCTCCAGGGGCTCCGCTCAGACCCGACTGGTGTTACGCAGGCCAGGGAGGAGAAAATGGGCAATAACCCTACATAACTGCTTTCTCCCACACTGCTGTTGGCAGCACTGCCAGCATCTCTGGGGCTCGCCTCAGTTGCCTGGGCAGCAAACCAGATATGTGTGCCAAGCAAAATAATCTAGCATGCCGCCGTTTGGCATGCAAACCTGGGATTGTTAGCCCTGAGCGAGTTCATACAGAACCACAATATATTCTGGTACAGTTCATACAGGTACTGTTGGGTTTTGATAGTGAGATATTGAAAAATGGTATTTAGCAGAGATAAGATAGCTTAGCAGTGCCAGAGTAAAATAATTCAGACTCAGAGTCCATGTGTGATTAAAATATAAAGTTTTTACTAAATTCTAGCATAGGGAAGGGTAACTGGGATGAAAATAACAACGGAGCTAAATAGGCTACATCTTTACTCTACAAGGACAAGACTAGAAGAGAGCAATTATGGCTACTCTTACTTCTTCTTGAGAACAGCAAACAAAGACGGGAAGAGGAGCCATAAAATGCTAAAACACTTTGACACTTTCATCCCAATCAAACTCCTAGATCAGGGAGAAAATTCCCGGGCTTCCTACATCTAAAGAACATTGGTTACATGAGAAACATGTGACTTCCTGTGAGTAACAGAAACAAACATTTAACCCCAGATATACTGAGTGTTTTTAACTTGTAATACCCAACAGGTACATACGGTCTCTTTCAGAATACATTGTAGGGTTTTTTTTGTACAATTCTACCTTTCTGTCAGGAATGTCCATTGTCACCTGTGATGGTCCATTAAATAAATCATTTCATGGAAATGTTTGGGACCATCAGGCATGACCTTCTATAGATAGGACTGGTGCTATATGACTTTTGTAACCTATCAAGTTACAACCAACACAGCTACCCACCTGAACCACTCAAGATGTAACCTATCAAGTCCTTCAACTGATTGCCCTGACCTGGATAGCCCAGGCAAGCCTGATCTTATCCAATCTCAGAACCTAAGCAGGGTCAACTCTGGCAAGTCCTTGGATGGGAGACCTCCTTGGAATAGCCTCTGAATGTATTAACTAATTACACGTGCAAATGCTTATCAATCATTGCAGTGTCTACCAATCATCCCAGTACTTTCACGGTGGAGAGTGAGCAGGCTGACTTCTACTAATCAATTGGATACAAAACTCCTGTATGTTGTTGTTTCTTTTCTAAGACCAGGCATACCCTAGCTAAAATTAAGCACACTGAAATCCTATTGATTCCAAAGGTACGGAGTTAAGAATGCTGAACTCTCTCCCACCAAAACTGATGGGACTCAAAAAAGTGTTTCACAATGGCTGAATTTGCATCCTTAAAAAAAAAGAATTAAAAAGTAATAGAGACAGAAAATGGAAGGGACTTGAAATACCAGGTGTATTCATTTAGGTGGCATGCTTAATCAAAACTTTACTTGCAGATTAAGACTCCTCCTGACCTTATTAATTGGTGTGACTCACAACAAGCAAGAAGGGTACATGACACTACAGATAAGGTTTTCAACCCCCCCCCAAAAAAAAACCAGTTTAACCTGCCTTTAACAGCACCTTGACCAAACAGTGACACTTTTCATAGCACTGAGGTAACCATCGATTTGCTAACATCTCCCAATCAGGCATAAAAGCAGGATTCAGGAAAGAAATGGGCAACACACCCTACAGGCCATTCAAGCATGCTCCTTTCTTCCACCAAGTTTGAAGTAGTGGTTTTTCCTGGCACCTTGTGTCCATAACTAATAAACAGCTTGCTGTACAGGTGCAAGAATGTTATACCCCCTTTCATTCTCTGTTGTCATTATCCCACCCATTTTCAGTTTATTTCTTTTGTGCCAATTCTACATCATTTTTGTTTTGTACTCCACTGATATGTGCATGGTGAAAAACTGCATACATTAAATGTGGATGGGATTTGGTGTGAAGAAACAGAACACAGCATGAAAGTAAAGATTTATGTGTTTGGTTCACACAAGGAGGAATAAACATTTATTTTAGTGTATTTTTATTCCATACCCTAACCTGGATGGCCCAGGTATCCTGATTTAGATCTCTGAAGCTAAGAAGGGTCAGCCCTGGTTCGTCCTTGGATGGGAGACCACCAAGGAAGTCCAGGGTTGCTATGAAGAGGCAGACAATGGAAAACCACCTCTCTTTATCTCTTGCCTTGAAAGCCTTCTGCGGTCACCATAACTCAGCTGTGACTTGATGGTACTTTACATACACATTTTATTCCACCCTTCCTCCAAGGATTCGAGGTGGCAAACCATGTTTCTCTCCTCTTCCACTGCATCTTCACAACAGCTGTGTAAGGCCGGCTAGGCTGACTGGCATAAGCTCACCCCAAAAAGTTTGAACCTGGGTTTCCTTGGTCCCCATCCAACACTCTTAACCACCATACCGCATAGGCTCTTAAGATGCAACACTGAAAAGGGGGATTTTTCAAATACAACCAGCAAGGATAAGAAATCCAATAGTCTCTCTAGCACTATCAACCACCCTCATGTCTGGATGTTCTATGCCAACACTAGGCCTTAAAATGGTTTCCGTTGTTTCAGAAGGTCGCGTTATTTGTGCTACCGTTCCCTTCCCTCCAGATCCTCAAAGAGACACCTTTTTTTGAGGTTTCGCGGTATGCAAACGGAAAGGCAGTTAATCGGTTTTTTTGAAAATGTATATCCATTTAAGATCCTCTCCTTGTTTCATGAATTAAAATAATTGCCCATGATGAAGGAATAGCTTATCATCCAAACACAGGGCTTTAATCTCAAAATTATGGCCGGCAGCATTATCTTTAATTTGAGGCAAATTCATCTTGGTTGGTCAAATGGGTTTTACTGAGGGGCACCTACGGAGTCCTAAATGTTGTAGATAAAGGGGTGGTTTAAAAAAAAAGTTTAGGGAAATGCCTGGAGATTTGGCTGCGAGCCTGAGGAGGGTGGGTTCTAGGGAGGGACCTTAGCTAGGGTTGCCAGGTGCACCCTGGCCACCGCCAGGAGATGGGGGGGGGTAGGGTTGACAGATTCAGGTTGGGAAACTCCTGGAGATTGAGGGATGGAGCCTGGAGAGGACAGGGACCTCAGTGGGGTATAATACCACAGACTCCACCCTCCAAAGCATCCGTTTTCTCCAGGGGCACTGATCTCTGTAGTCTGGAGTCACTCCGGGGAATCCCCAGGTGCCACCTGGAGGCTGGCATCCCTAACCTTAGCGGGGTATAATTCCACAGAGTCCACCTTCCAAAGCAGCCATTTCCTTCTGGGGAAGTGGCCTCTGTAGTCTGGAGATGTTGTAATTCTGGCAGGTCTCCAGGCCCCACCTGGAGGCTGGCAACTCGCGTTCTGTGGCCTACCGACTGCAAGCCAGCCACTCTGTTAAAACTGTTTAGCCCTGAGACCTTTTGTCCGTCCAAACCCCGGAGGAAAGTTCCCTCCAACACAAGTCATTCACACACTCTGAGCGGAAAAGCCTCCGAGTCCCGCCAGAACTCCTCCGCCGCCTCGCATTGCAAAGCCGCAGCCAGGCAGCCGCCTACCTCTCACGACGCACAGCGAAGCTTTGAGGCCGCCCTTCAGCTCCGGGTCATCGACCAGCTCCACCAGCCGGAAAAGTTTGTTGAGCTGCACTTTGACTCCCTCGTACCTCTTGGCCTCAGCCCTGATGGCGGCGGAGATCAGCTGCCTCTGCACGTTCATGATGCCCAAGGAGCTGCCGGCCCGACCGGTGGTGAAGGATCTCAGCCCATGGTGCGGCCTACCGCTCCTCCTGGCCAGGCAACTCCGGCAAGTCTGCCACAAAGTGGAGGTGCCTCTCAGACTAGGAGGCCTGACCTGCTCCTCTCGGGCTGTTTCTCGCTCTCTCTCGCTCTGTCGGTTACACTTCCTGAGCTGCACAGCGTCACATTTCAAAGCCACGGCTTCAGATCGCCTCATCCCTATCTGATTCTGACACCAAGCAAAAGGGCGTAGCTCTGCAAAAACAGACAGCCCGGCTTCTTCTCCTTCTTCTTCTCCTTCTCCTCCTGTGAAACGTCCTCCAAGATCTTAGGCAGAAACGGGCACTCCCAAAGCAGGTGAGACTGGAATTGCAGGTGCTTGGAAGACTGCCTTTCCGACAGATTTAATTACTACAATGAGTTCTGGCAGCATGCAGGTAAACAGAGAGCCATGTGGAGAGGGCACCCAGAAGGCCCCAAAACCACATAGTCATCCTTCATACACGCAGACACACCCGAGCCGATGTACACCCAATTCACTTTCAGAGAGGCATCATCTCTGCAAACGTAACCCTAACCTCTTGGCAGGCAAGGAGCTGGGTTCGGGTCTGTGGTGGGACTTGAACTAGTGCCCACAGACCCCTCAACAGAATAAGATTTATGCGATCACACACACTAAATAACACACTTTCAATCCACTTTCAGTGCACTTCCCAACTGGATTTTACTGTGTGAACTGGCAAAGTCCAGTTGGAAAGTGCATTAAAAACGGATTGAAAGTGCTTTATTTAGTAGCCTATGTGCCACCCTAGGATTGCCAACCTCCAGGCAAGGCCTGGAGTTCTCCCAGAATTACAAATTACTCCCATCTATACAGATCACTTGATCTGGTTTCAGAGGGTGGATTCCAAGGCATCATATCCCTGCTGAGCTCCCTTCCTTCTCGAAACTCTGCCATCCCCAGTTTCCACCCTCAGATTTCCAGGAATTTCATAATCTGGAGTTGGCAACCCTGACTGCCAGCAAAGTCTGGCTATAGGCTGGCACTGCCTTGAGTCTAAGGCAGTGGAGGGATATAAATATTTACAAGCACAGTCGCAGACTGACCATTGAAAAACATCTTACTGGTCAGTAGCCTCTGGCTCAGGCTTGCTTATTGGTCTAAATCAGCGGTTCCCAACCTTGTTGAGCCTCTGCGCATTCTTGGATTTTGAGAACAGGTAGTGGGTACCTCCACAAAACAGCTGCAGAAGTCTGGTAGGTGTAGTCAAACCACAAAATGGCTGCCATGGGGGCCGGGGCCAGTCACATGCTGGGAGGTTCCAAACCAACATCTTCCTTGGATTTGAGCAGCTGCTTCAGAATGGGTATTCTCTGTGGGCACAAAGTTGATGCCTGCCTGTGTCTTCTGAAGCACTTTTTGTTCCAATGAGATAGAGGAAAGATGCGATAGAGGATTCTCCCATCCTCCACTTTATCCCCACAACAACCCTATGAAGTAGGTTAGGCTGAGGGGGATTGATTAGCTCAAGGTCACTCAGTGAGTCTCAATGAGAAGGAAAGTAGAAGTCTTTCTTGTCACATTGTTAGAGATAAAGTTCAATCTCCTGGTCGCAATCTGGCAACACCATTCCCAGAGAAAGCACCAGACGCTAACAACATGCTTTCACAGCCTGCATACATCTGGCTGGCCGTTACTGGAAACAGAATGCTGGACTTGATAGTCTGATCCAGCCGGGCTCTTACGTTCTTCCGTAAGGACATTGCTCAGAGAAGAAAACTTGTCACACCAGTCACTTTGCCTGGATTCCACAATTTAAACATTACAGTCATGTCCCGTCTTCAGATCTGTGGCTCCAACATGGTGTCAGCAGTTGCATCTGGCTCACAGAACTGCAGCATCTCACCATCAGCTCTGCCCATGTGGTGCTCCTCACACAAAGACACATATAGTGTCAACAGGGAAAATACGCAGGGCTACTTGAAAGACAAAAATGAGACCAAGTCTGCTTCCACATGTGGTAAAGATTTTCACTTTGCTTTCATCATCGCTACAAATGCAGAGGCATGTATTTTGGTGACAGAGCTTCGACACTGGCTACTTTCTGTACAATTTCCTCTCTTCCTCCCCCCAACTTTTTTCCTTCCACGTGTGCTCTACAGTGACTCCACAGTGGCTGGGGGGGGGGGCTTGGTTGTCACAGCCACCATGGCAACTTGCTGCCCCTTGCTTTGTTTTTTCTTCACATATCTGCTACAGGACAATAATGACACACAAATAATAACCCGAAGCACTGCCCCGTGCCTTTCATTTCCATTACCCAGTACACAGAGAAATCACTGTGCATTGAAGTTTGAAACAATCAATTGGGCAGTGAATAGAGCTGGAAAAGTATATTTGCATACTTGAACGAAGATGGAGCCAATCCTTTTGATAAGTTCAGTTTAACAGGC